AGCCGGCAGAAGCCCAGCCGCACGAGCTCCATCCACACCCCGGGCCACACGGGGCGGCTGGGTCCGGAGGGGCCTCCAGGACAGGGCAGCCTCCTGCGGCCCAGGAGCCCCAGGCCCAGGACGAGGGGAAGAGCCACTGTGGCCTCCTGTCCCTCCTCCTGGGCACTGGACGCTCAGCTCTGCACCCCAAACGCCCAGGGCTCCCAAGGAACCCCGAGTTCGCCCGACCCACATTCTCTCCCCATGTTTGTAGCTGGAGTTCCAGCGGATTCCGATGCCCTGCCCACTTGCTAAATGGAGGGCTCCCCGGCTGCAGCCGCAGGCTGGGCTCCCCTTACCCGCGGGCGGGGCCTCTGCCAGGAAGCCCTCCCGCGTTGTCTACCTCCTCCATAACCCTCACCAGGGCCTGGCCCCGCCTGAGGTCAGCCCTGGGTGGCGTTTCATTACCGTGAAGGCAGCCCTGCAGGCGAGGGGCCACCCTGGTCCCCCCACCGCCCCCCCTTGGCCTCCCGCTCAGGTGCAGCCCTGCTGGGCCGGTCTAGTGAACACCTCCCCCGAGTGACCGTGGGCGGCAGACCCCACACCTGGCCACCACCTGCCTCCGAGCAGCAGGCTGGACACAGAAACGTCATCCATCTCTGTTCAATCGTCAGAATCAGGCACTTCGTTCGGTTCTACCCAGGGCATCGCGGTGCAGGCGACACGCCCAGTGCTCCCGCGTGCAGCACGCAGTCCAGTGTGTGTGGATCGCGTGTCCTCGCGTGGAGCCCAGCAGATCCCGGACAGTCTGTCCACCTCACAGTGACCGTGGCCTGGGCACTGCAGCCACATGGGGCCATTTCAAGGACACAGCCCCTCTTCCACCTTCTGGTGTGTGAATGGATGGATGCCACCAAACGTTCGATTCCTTGTCATGTACTGGACACGCGACACGGGTCAGACACGGTGCAAGTGTGGCTGGGGCTCCTGGAAAGACATGAGAGGTCGTGCCCCCTGCAGGGAGCTGTGCTCTCGTCACTCCGGGTTCAGAGGCGTCTGCTGCGCGGAGGCCTGGGCACCAGGTCAGACAGCCACCTGTCCGAGGCACCTGCCAGTCAGAGCTTCCTGGTCAGTTAAGGGGATAATCAGGCCTTCCGTGAAGCATCATTGTAAGGATGCTAAGTACGGGATTTGGCAAATCCTGGCACATGGTAGCTGCTCAGTAAATTGGAGTTGCTAGGGTAGTAACAGTGTTTGGTCTTCCTACAAATACACTAATCTTCCAGGCCTGTCAGGAAATCGCCTGTTTTTCTGTTTTTATCCAAAGATTTGGCATTTCTTACAATTACCCTGAGAGTAGCCTCCTGCCCCCACTATTGCATCTGGCTGGAAGGCAGGACTTGGTCTGCTCTCTTTGAATTTAAAAATCTTCCTTTAGAATGAATTCTGCTGCATGACCCTTATGCTTTAGAAAAGAATATCTATATATATATATAAAAGGTTAATATGCTAAGTGTCCGCCCGTCCAACCGGTCGCTATGACGTACACTGACTACCAGGGGGCAGACATTCAATGCAGGAGTTGCCATGACGCTCAGAGAGAAAAGGCCCTGCGGACCTGGCGCCCACAAAGCAACACTCAGCTTCCCCCAAGTGGAACGTGGGCCCCACCACCACCCTGGAGCGACACCCCACCAAATCGCAGCCAATGCTGCCAAGACCCCATGGCACAAAATGCAGCCCACAGCCCAGCCCAGCCTGGAAACGGGCGCCGGGTAATGATGTCATGTAGCAACGCCCGGCTTCCTCTCCCTAGCGACTAGCCTCCTTGCAGTTTCTTCAGCCCAGGAACACGACTTGCTCTATAGCAGGTGCAAACATTTCACACTGTAACCAAACGTCTGTGAAGCGTTTTCCCTGCCTCATCTCATTTGATCCTCACAGAAGTCCTGGAGTAGGCAGATAGGAGACTTGGTAGAATCCTATTTTCTTTTCACTAGCCAGAAAACAGAGATTTAGAAAGTTTAGAAACTTGACCCGACTGAACAGAAGTAAGAAATGGTGGAACTTGAAAATGACTTCAGGTTTTCTCACTGCACAGAATATAGTCAGACACGGCTGCAGTTAAATATTTTACTCTTGGTTCTCCCTGCGTGATCTACAATAATAATCTGCTTTGCGTTGATGTTTACTGCTGTGTTGCTGACAATTACCTGAAAGGGAAGTTGGGGTGCCTCACTGGCCTGGAAAAAGTTGAGCTAAATCAGAAAGCAGGTCTAATTAAGCAAGTTTATTCTATAAATATAAAAGGCTAGGTTGCTGGCGCCAATCGCACAAATGTGTTTCAACCTGTCATTGCCGATCATGAATTTGGTTGACACTTCTATTATAGAGAAAGGGCGAATAGCGTATTAAAATATTTCTTCTAATTAATTTCCTTTCAATGTGCACGAATCCGTGCACCGGGCCACTAGTTTTCTATAAAGGTTGCTGTTTTAACCACTTTGTGTCCATTTGGGACATTCAGCCCATTCACACCATCGAGGGCTTGTCACCCTCCCACACGGAGACTAAAGGACCCCCGCCCCGCAGCCCCTCCTCCCGCCAGAGCGCGGTCACATCTATTCCCTCGGATGCGTGGCTGGGCCCTGTCGCCCTCCAGGCCAGGGGCCCCGCGGGAACCCTGGGACGCAGCAGCCGTGCCCAGAACCCTGATCACACAGCCCTGGGAAGGGAAGGGCGGGGGCACCAGGCCAGGGCGAGGCGAGGGCTCCTCGTTAGAGGGGGAGCAGGGGCTGCCCCCAGGAGGGTCCAGGACAGAGAGCCCAGCGCGGGCCGGGCAGCAGGGGCAGGAGTCAGGGACTGCACTGTGGTCTGCAGCTGGCGGACCAGGTCTGTCCCCACACCCCTCACCCAGGGGCTGAGGAAGGTGGCCACACACAGCCAGGCCCCACCTTCCCTGGCTTCAAGCAGCCCAGCTGCCCCGCAGGCAGCCCTCGGGCCACCCGCCACCAGGGCCCGCCTCCTGCTCAGGTCCTAGGAGGAGGCAGCCTTGGAAGATGGAGGGAAGGAGAGAGGAGGGAGGAGGGAGGAGGGAGGAAGGAGAGCCGGGCCTCCTTCACCGGGTGGAGGTGGGGTCCTGCGTCCTTGGGGCTGAGAGTGAGGGGACCCCAGCTGCCTTTGTCCCTCCCCGAGGGTCAGCACGCCCTCCCAGGGTCAGCACTGGGCTGGGCCCGGAACACTGGCCGCCTCGTCCTCACCGGTTTCCCCGGGACGGGCGTGGCCAGTGAGCCCCGTGGTCTGGCTGACGCCCACGCTCAGAGTCCTGGGAGCCTGCTCCCCCGGCCTCACAGGCTGTAGCCAGGACACCTCCAGGTGGCGCCGCCATGTGGCTGCCTGGGCTTCCTCCCCGTGGCAGCAGGGTCCCAGGGGAGCCCTCAGGGGAGCTGGGATGTGGAACGTGAGGCCCAGAGAGGCCACCCGACCCGCCCAGCGTCACACAGCGAGCAGCGGCCACGTCCCAAACGATTTCCCTCCCCTGGGGCCCCTGTGTGGGGCTGGATCCCTGATTAGATGTGCCCTTGGTCAGGGGCCCTGGTCCTGGGCAAAGTCCTAAGTACCTGGTGCCCCCACCCCCCTCAGGGGGGGACAAGGGGCAGGGACAGGCATCTGGCAGAGGGTGAGGGGACCCCAAGGCCCCTCTGAGGCCGCCTTCCCCCGGTCGGCCTGGCCGTGAGGACGATGATGAGCTGACAGGACCTCAGGACTCGCAGGCGTGGCTGAGCACTGTGCTGTCCTTGCCCCATCACGGCACCGCGTCTGTCACTCACAGAGAATCGGGTGCAGGGAGAAGCCAGGGCCCTGGTCGGAGGGGGTTCACGCCCGGCCATCTGGCCACCCTGTTGGCGGCCGGTGTGGGGTCAGCAGGTCTGGCCCAGGTGCCCCAGCCCGTGAGCCGGGGGGAGATTCCACGCACACGGTCCCCACCCCTCCAGGGCCCTCCCGGGACGGGTGAGCGGGTCCTCAGCCCAGCTCTGCCATCAGCCAGGCTTAAGCTTCGGGGAGAAGGGCCTTCCTAGAGCCCAAGGGGCATAAGCAGCCAGGGAGGGTGCCACACGGGTACCACACAGATACCACACGGGTACCACACGGGTATCACATGGGTACCACACGAGTGCCACACGGGTGCCACACGGATACCACACGGGTACCACACGGGTGCCACACAGATACCACACGGGTGCCACACGGATACCACACGGGTGCCACACAGATACCACACGAATACCACACGGGTACCACACAGGTATCACATGGGTACCACACGAGTGCCACACGGGTGCCACACGGGTGCCACACAGGTACCACACGAGTGCCACACGGGTATCACATGGGTACCACACGAGTGCCACACGGGTGCCACACGGGTACCACACGAGTGCCACACGGGTACCACACGGATACCACACGGGTACCACACGGGTGCCACACGGGTACCACACGGGTACCACACGGGTGCCACACGGGTACCACACGGGTACCACACGGGTGCCACACGGGTACCACACGGGTACCACACGGGTGCCACACGGGTACCACACGGGTACCACACGGGTGCCACACGGGTACCACACGGGTACCACACGGGTGCCACACGGGTACCACACGGGTACCACACGGGTGCCACACGGGTACCACACGGGTACCACACGGGTGCCACACGGGTACCACACGGGTACCACACGGGTGCCACACGGGTACCACACGGGTACCACACGGGTGCCACACGGGTACCACACGGGTACCACACGGGTGCCACACGGGTACCACACGGGTACCACACGGGTGCCACACGGGTACCACACGGGTACCACACGGGTGCCACACGGGTACCACACGGGTACCACACGGGTGCCACACGGGTACCACACGGGTACCACACGGGTGCCACACGGGTACCACATGGGTACCACACGGGTGTCACACGGGTACCACACAGATACCACACGGGTACCACACGGGTATCACACGGGTACCACACAGATACCACACGGGTACCACACGGGTATCACACGGGTACCACACAGATACCACACGGGTACCACACGGGTATCACACGGGTACCACACAGATACCACACGGGTACCACACGGGTATCACACGGGTACCACACAGATACCACACGGGTACCACACGGGTATCACACGGGTACCACACAGATACCACACGGGTGTCACACGGGTACCACACGGGTACCACACAGGTGCCACACGAGTGCCCAGGAGTGAGTTTTAACACAAACCCCAGCTGGTGTCATTTCACATGTGAACTCCTCAGTGCACAACGGGGTGCCTCCTGTGGTCCCCACGAGCAGCTGGGGCACCGGGGCCTGTGGACAGCCCGCCTGCCTCTCCCTGCGTCCCCGGCGCCGCGGTGGGAACGCTGTGCGGTGCCCCTGGCCGGTGCGGTGTGGTTTTGGGATCACTCCCGGGAGAGGTTCCCAGACCCACCATCAAAGCCCAGCCCAGATGCTTTCCGAGGCAGACGCGGTGGGAGCCTCGTAAATCACGGTGGGGCGGCCCTGGGAGCCCACGGGGACCACACGGGTATCACATGGGTACCACACGAGTGTCACACGGGTACCACACGGGTACCACACAGGTACCACACGAGTGCCACACGGGTGCCACACGGGTACCACACGGGTACCACACGGGTGCCACACGGGTACCACACGAGTGCCACACGGGTACCACACGGATACCACACGGGTACCACACGGGTGCCACAC